CGAAACATCACACACTAGATGGACTTGTCTGCTCAGTATTGCATGGAAGGCCTACCAACTTTTGAAACCCAAAGTTTTTAAGTTTGCTTATACAGGTAAGGGCTGTGTTTGGTGCAAAAACATATGGGTGCTGTTGGAGATCTAAATCAAATTTGTTACATTAATCGAATATTTCTGCGTTTGATATAATGCAGCGTGCTCACATATGCCTTTTAAGTTTCCAGAATGTTAACATATGAATTCCCTTGATATTCAAAGCACTGGACTTTGGTCTTTGCAAAAAGAAGGGAGTGATCGAGGTAGACAGGCCTGTTCACTGATTCACCAAAATTAATCTGTGTAGAAGCACTTATTTATTCCAGACATTAAAAAATGGACTCTATTTTGAGATGCGCTAGTTCAGGAATAAAACTCGAGTTAACGCTTGGTGGAGATGGTGCGGACCCCAGCACTGTTTTTTTAACCAGTTGGATATAAAGCTGGTGCTTTTCTATAAGATTTTCATGAAAAAAATCTTTATATTACTTTATTTAAAAATTAGAATTTTGATTGTTCTTGTAGACGTTTATTAATTTGGAAAATCTGCTACAATGCAAATATCGTGCTAAAATAATAAGTGACGGAAACTATTTAAAAAATATGTTCAAGTAAAAAACATTTTGATTATGATTGATTACAACCGAATTCCTTGCGTCCAACGTAAAAAAAAAACGGTCGGAGTATGTGAGAAAGGTGGATACGACGGGGATGGATTTGGATTAGAGTTTGATGTCGGACAAAAAAAAAAGAATAAAATGGCCCGAGCTTCAGAGCCCTTCAAAAAATTAACAAAATCTGATGTAAAACGTGACACGATCAATATTCACAGGAAATCATGATTTAAAAAAGCGACTGTCACAGATAAGTTGTCCTCCGCTGGTGAGATACGCTAGGAGCGCTGTTGAACACCGTTGGTACTTATGTATGCAGCGTGAAAGTCTGCATAAAAAATACTATAAATTATGTGTGATAAAACGGGTAATTTTCCATTGAACAGAACATATTTCATGCGTGAAAATCATCTTCAATTGTGTATACACAGTAACAATCATGTCTCGTGACTTTTTCCTATCAGCCACACGAAGCTTCGGCTTAGAAATTGCCAGCTGGCGTTGTACCTGCTAGACTTTCAGTATATCTTGTGGACGGGGACGCAAAGTTAACTGTGGAAGGCCCAGCCCTATTTGTCAAACCGCGCGAAATACTTCTTGCATATTTTTTTATATGTAAGGGTTTATCTACAGGGGGTTATAAAGTAGAAACTCGGGGAATAATTTTGGATTTGATGTTTGCCAACGAAAGATTTATCTAGTAAACTAACAGCAATGTTCATTCATTTTTATGCGTCAAATCTTTGTCGCTGTAATTAACATGAGCTAGTTGTACGAGTAAGGTATAGAGCATCCGTATGTTTGCCATATATTTTATCATTTACTCTTTTGTATAGATACAACCCTTCCTACAGAAATGCCATACACATATATCATTTGTAAATAGTGATCATTTATGTACATAGTCTTCTTAAGAATAAAACGGTTATTACAAACTATTCGACTCCTTTTTTGTATTTGAGCAGGAAATTGTTTACAAATCAAATTGAGCACTTTTCATTAATCTTCACGAGTTGTCTACATCCGTAACTCACCATGTGTTACTTGCTTTTTGCTAAAATAATACCTGAAATAAGAGGTATTTGTGTTGTTACGTAAGGAAATCGGCTTAAATGGCGTAGATTATGCTTAAAACTCGATTGAATGTTGTATCCAGCCGAGCGTGGTACAATCTGTACATCTTCTTGATAATGCCACGGTTTTTTTCCGTGTAAATGTAAATGTCGCTGGAATATTCCACAACTGGAAAAATTGGTAAGTTACTGATAAAGCGCGCAGTGGTGGGGATGTTGTCTATCACCACAGTGTTTCATTTGGTGCGACTTGAGTTCGATTTCTTTTAAATTCATTTTATTTCAGTAAACATTGCCAGTTTAAAGGGGTTACCAGAATAATAGTTATCAGAATGTACAATTCCATTAAATGGTTATGTCACCTTTATAGTACAAAATACTCAACAAATCAAGCCTATAGCCATAGCCGAAGAAACGCAGGTTGTGTATAAATAGGAAGAGTTCGCTATTCTGAGTCAGTGAGTGGCTAATGTGTACCACGTACAATCTGGATTTTGGAATTCAGAACCCGTGAGAATATGAGCACTAAAATGATATTGTCCATCTTAATCATTGATTTCTCGAAGCTATTTTTTCTTCTCCTTTTTTATCTGTCACCCTATCACTTTCGGCTAATAAGATAATTATCAACAGAAATAACAGTAATCCAGTAATGGGCAGTCAACATTTGCCTGAAGATAGAGAAAAAAATCAAACACTGTGTTATTAAGCACATCAGACAACGCTGCTTGCGGTACTTTCCATTTCTCAAACTATGTCGAGGAAATACACAGCAACTTTGTCTAAAAGAATTGGTCAGTTTTTCCGTCCAGCTGTAGGAGAGAACGAGAGGCTCCATTGAGACTCAGGTCACTGATGATTGACTATTGTCGTCGAGGAAAGTGCTTGCACTCGTCTAAATACAATTTCTTTTTGTCTTTTTTCTTTATTTTACTTTCTTACAGAATTGAGAGTTTCTCTGAAAGAGATTGGCATAGAAAGTAAATGGAGAAATACAAAATCGACCGCGTGGCGCGTCTTCTGTTTACCACCAAACTTCTAATAAATAACAACACATTTATCAGATTTACCGATCATCAGATTAAAAAAAGCTCTTCTTGGCAAGTACAGAAGATTCGCTCGTCGCGTAGAACACACTCTATATAATTTCATTTGCCACTGAAATCGTGATGATTAACCAGGAAAAGGGGGAATTCGTTTCAGAGTCAACAAGGAAGTAACCTAAAAACATCCTGGATGTTGTTTGAATGTACATGTCAAGATAAAAAAATAATTTTGATAACATGTTCGCCTCTTTTAGAAGTTTATTAAAAGTTTTTTTGCCTCATTAGTTTTCAAGATAATCACGCATTACTTCACGCGTGGATCACATTTCTAAAGCCGCCAATTAAAACAAAGGCGTGGATCCAAGAGGCAGACAGTGCTGAGTTTATTCATTATATATTAATGTTGAATCGCGTTCCAACGTCTCATCAATCTTATGACTGTCAGTTATTAGCCCGGCGGAAATTACAATTACATTCATACTAAAAATTGTTACACTGTAATTACCCACGGAGCTACCAAATAATTGCACTGTTTTAGGCGGAAACCGATGTAAATGACATTTATCTATTCGTGCAAATTACCTGAAGTGTTTCAATGTTAGCAGCGTACGTTTTTTTTTTATCCCGATGTGTAAGGTCAGGAAAGTTAAAATCGTCAAACTTTTTATTTCGTATGTTTTATACTTCTGCCAAGGAGGTTATGTTTTCACCCCTGTCTGTCATCAACATAACTCCAAAGTTATGGACCGATTTTGATGAAATTTTCAGGAACTGTCAGCAGTGGGCCAAGGAACAGATGCTTAGTTTTTGGTGGTGATCCGGATCAATAATCAATAATAATAAAAAATCGCTGCCTTGGCGGAGGTCTGCGCTCTCGTTGGTATTTTGAAATGGAAGTCAATCTGGAGGAGGGGGAACATGGACGATATACAGTCCGAGAAAAAAAACTGTCCAAATGTATGCCTGCCAGATAGTTTTATGAATTTGTTTGTTATGTGAAATAAACGTATTTAGGAAATTACTGACATGGGTGAATAATTGCGTTCATGGTAAAATGGGCAAAATAACAGTTCACATCACGGCAAATAAATTGGTGTTTTTAAGTACATGTACCTACGTCTATTTATAAAAATGATGATTATTTTGGGGTCAAAACTAACTTATGAAATGCCGATCGATGGCGAAGTAGCCGTTGTCAGTGATCGTTATAATGAAAATGGTGAAAGCAAAATACATTTCTGGAATGAGGTAATGCATGGTTTTGCACTTTAGAGACAACACACACACACACAGAGAGAGAGAGAGAGAGAGAGAGAGAGAGAGAGAGAGGTGATTTAAGCCTACTGTAGACATATGTCAGTTAATCAAGATTTTGAGTTAATAAGTAATTTTAAAATTAATACGTTTGGATGAAATTTGCGGCTTAATATTCCGAAGAAAGTGCTAAAGCTGTAGACATGCAAATAAAAATGTATGAGGAGACCATAATTCTTCACCAACTTCGTATAGATATAATCCAAATATCGTTATTTGTACACAAACAAAACATTTATTAATCAATCAAACATGTTAGTCTCGTCAGAATGGAGGCTGGCCGGCAACTTATAAGTAAAATTCTGTCTTTTGAGTATACCTAATGTGTTTAAATATGGCCATCAACACGTTTGTTCACTTATTAATTCTTAAATATTTATTTATGTATTTTTATTATCATATGTTATTTTCAATTTTAAAAAATTTTTATCGTCTTCGTTCATGTTACCTTTCTACATTGCATTCCGCTAACATCGTGCTACAATAAAAGTGACAGTACTCGGAGCCTATTTCAATTTTTCATTATAACGACCCAGACGTCTTCGTTCTCACTTTTGTGACATTTAGCTGTGATAGACGCAAAGCGTGAAATTTCATACAATGTACGTTTTTTTTCTATAAGTGGAATCATTTCGCCCACAGTGTAAGCTCTTTCTTGGGATTTTATCTGCACACATTAAGAAGGAAAGTGATGTCAAAGGTACAAAGTAGATGAAGTATTAATTTCTTTCCAAATCAGTATTTTCTGAATTATCTAGGACTAGATAAGACAAAAAAGTATAGGGTAAGTCTCAAATAACAACCAAGAATTATTTTAATATCGAAACAATAATTAAAGATTTTTAGAAGCAAATATTTGAACAAAATCATTTGTGCGTATTTCTGAAAAGCCAAAGAAACACGAAAAGGCTCTGCAATAATGTTTATTATTAAAATAAGTTATAACTCATATTAAGTTTTGCTAAGGCTAAAGTTCATAGTGATATTACTTTGTATGAGATACTATCTTCCTTTAAAATCCCATGATTTATTATAATTCATTCAAAAATCAGCGAACGTCTCTGTTACGTAACAAAACTGTAACTTAGGCCCAAATTGCAGCTAGGACGCCGATGAAGGCAACAGTGATGATGGGAAGGATAATTCAGCCATGGTTATTTAATGAATTTTTTTTTCCGAGTCTAATATTAAATTTTGTTTTACAGCTGAAAGCTAGAAGCAAATGTGAAAAAAATCTTTGCGTATCTATGTCGTTTAATTGCACTCACGCATACAGACATGCTCAGCACCTACAGGCACTCTCCCTCTTTCTCTCTCTTACGATGTAAAGTTCCTGACTAATTGCAGCTGTTGGGTCACACGCAGGACCGTTGCATTTAGTGTGACACACAATTACTGGATTGCGGTTGTTGTGACTGCCAACAGTTCACAAGAAAGAAGTCCTCATGTATAACATCTCAGATATATGGGAAGGGGCGCTGGAGACTATTCCTTGCCGTACATCAAGATATCAGGTGACCAGTCTATCCAGGTCATCACCTGGTGAAAGGTCTCAAGGTGAGACCGCAACGTAGGTCAGTTGCTAATATAATGTAAGTTTGAGTATCAAATTTGTAAATATTACTCATTCTAATTCAGGTGGATAACTAAAAAAACATTCACTCAATTAATTGGGTAGTTTGGCATTTCAGACATGGCCATTTTCCTTTCTATCTGGATGGGCCCCTCACAATGCCCGGATAATTAGGCAGGACCTGGTCAACCCTGGCTTGTCCCGCGGCGGTAATTTCATCATTCGGCAAGAACGCTGGGAACAGAGTCAGGTTATTTCGCACCCCAGTACTGAGGGGAATACCCCAGAAGTCACACATGGGGCTCAAGTTATGGCGCACGATTTCAGAAAACCTGCCGAAATACATGTCTATCTTAGCTCCATCATCTTGGTTGCTTTCCTCCTCCTTCTTCACAGAGTTCTCGTATAGTCTGAAGACCGTCTTGAAACTTCCCCATCCAAACTCATGGGCCAGCTGGGAATACACACACAGGGCAAAGAATGGGTCTTTCTTCCAGTCATTGAGAGAAGGTTGCGTTTGGAGAAGGCGGGGTAGCTTTTCGGCTCGAAATTTCTTCATCGTTGGGTTGTTCCAGGCATCGTTCCCTGTTACCGCCTCGTACGTATACAGAGTGAAGATGTTGTTGGTTACCTGGCAAAGAAAGACACCTTCGTGTGAGTTTTAGAAAACATTGTTTCCTTTTTACTTACATTTAAAACGTAATAATAATAATAATTAACGTTATAATCCTTTGGTCCGTCATTTTTGATATTGTAGAGGTTTGTTTGGGGAATAAAAAGGAAAAAGGAACTTTCATTCTGTTTATCATGTAATTAAGAATGTAGCCCCAATGCCATCCTCAAGAGCGAGTCTCGTACAGCCATGGAAATAACTTACAAAATGACATCGAAAATATAGACCACAAACCATTCAAAATTGTCACATACCTCTCCCATTCCAGAAAACGTCCAGGCCTTGCGTTGCATATTGTGACCAATCTCGTGAAAAAGACCCCAATTTCCATACAATTTCATCCCTGACTCACTGAATACAAAGTTGTCGGAGCCGTTGTATTGGAAGTTAGGATCGACCACGTCTAAGTGGGTTACTATGGGGTAGCCAGCGTGCATGTAGCCTGCAGAAGGTTGCTCGTCAGCGACCACGCGCTCACGTTTTTGGAAGTTGGGGTCAGTCCCGCGAAGATCGTGCTGTGCTGCAACGGCGGAGTCCCACAGGGCCAAGATGGTGGTTGGGTCGTCTATCTCCCGGACGGAGGTAGATGGAACCGTGAATACAATATGCCTGCCAGCCAACTCTGTCCACAAACCTGGAATACCAGACACAAACCTTTCGTTATTATCAGCGTCTTTGTCTAAAAATAGAGACACAACGTGGTAATTTAGATATTGATCTGATTAAAAAGAAAGTAATACAGTAATAAAGTAGTAATGCAGAAGAATTTTATTTTACCTGGAGCATTTCTCCTTCTTGACCAATCTTCTACGATTTCGGGTTTCGTTAAATCGAAGAAGGGTGCTTCTACGACATTGCAAACAATAACGGTCAACTCAGCGTTTCTCTCCGGACTGTCGAAGAATAGCAGTCCGCCGTAGGGAGAGGATAAGGCAGTTGTGGCCTTAAGTTCTTCCAAGACAGCAACGTCTGGCCAGCGTCGCCATGGTTCCTTGACGTTTACCAAACTGTCATCATGGGCACCAATGCATATCTTCCAACCACTGAGATCGGTTCCTTGGTCAGATGTCACAGCGACTTTAACGGGTTGTCCAGCCGGGACGTAATAACCCGTTGAGAGACGCTGCCTATGTTTGGTCGTCAGATTAAGCCGAACGGTTTGCAATGGTGGTTTGAAGCTGAAATCGCCAGGAAATACATCAATTCCTGGAAGCTTGCAGAATGCTTGTGGAGGCGTCATTCGGTAAAGCATGCCAAGGACCCTTACGTTAGCACGTAATGTTGAAGTATTTGCAGGCGATTTGGGACTTGGAAAATTAGATTCCAACTGCGCTGGATTTAGATACCCAATGAGATTATCCTTGAACATTAGAGACCTGAAACTTTGTGGGATCAACGACATTCCCGACAAAAGTTCAACATACCTCTCGCTCCTGTTCAGATCCCGGGAGACATCTTCAATGGCTCTCCCTATGTGGGCCCACTGCGCCATGTTATCGTTCACATTTAAACTTTGGCCGTCAATGTAGCCTTGGATGTAACACAACCCAAGCCGAGCGAGTACTGGAGAGTGAGGCAATTCATCCAGTGTCTTACCAGGATTAAGCTGCAACCACCCCCAGGGACACATACCGCATACCAGGAATCCGCCGTATTGGAGATGTGCAAGAACAGCTTCTGTGAACTCTGCCGTAGTCTTCCGGGGATCTAAATGCCACAACAGCACACAGCTTCCCGGTGGTGGGAGATCACAGCCGGAGCTGATCTCCTTTAAATCCACGTGTTCCAGTGTTTGCCGCCAATTTCTAGTAAGCCAACGCGTAACGTTAGCATTCAGTATTCGGAAACGGGGTTCATTTATTTGATATTTCAGCACGTATGAATCATGTGAAAACACCACTACGCGACCAGTTCCGTACTCCGCGGCGGCTATGGCGACCTCTTCGGGGTGCTTACTGGTTAGGACCGGCTCTGCCCTCTCCCCGACCACCGCCAGTCTGCCAGGTGTGCCTAAAACGGGCACCGCCTCTACTCCCTGCAGTAACTCCTGTGTCCAAGAAGACATCGCGCGAGTACCGTGTAAAAAGACGGCCGGAAAGATCTAATTTTTTCAAGAATATCGGGGACAGCAGTGTTATTTACTATCAAGTGCGAGTATACCTAAGTAAAAATGGTGCCACGTATGTATACGCCTCTCTCTCAAATACGTCACACCGCATTCGTTTAACATATTCACTACATTCTATAGCATATCCAACAACACACAAACGTTGTTGTGTTGAATTTTCAGACTCCGAACTTCAACAAAACCACAGTCTCCGGGTCAAGGCGCACGGTCCTAAATCAGCTTAGAATGTGAATAAATGGATACATCCTCGTTTGTGGCCTACTTATTTGCATAACAACTGACACCCTGAATTTTTAAAATCCACCTCACTTGCCTTACGATCAGATCATTTCACCTGAGGGAATCCAGGGGCGGATTTAGGGCGTCTTCTGGGTCTTCCGGAAGACGGTCAGATTTTCAAGTTTACATTGGCGGGTATCTAATTTTTTTTCTGTCGGAAGACGGTCAAAAATGAAGAACGGATCAACAAAGATAATTTGGAAGACTGTCAGGAAATATCTCTGGATCCGCCCCTGGAATCCAAAACTGCAAGTTAATAGTTTTCGACGAAAATGCGGTATAGCCTATTCTCAGACACTTGCAGGAATACCAAATGAACTGCGTCCAAATCTACATACTGCACACATTCCTTGTGCACTTTCAATTTATAAATAATTTCATAAATTTATCAACTGTCATGTTCAAATTTAATTTTAGTTGCGTTTTTTTTTTAATATTTCAGAGTTATTTAAAGCCATAGGCCTAATGTTGTTCCTACACCTACATCCAACATCAAGTTGCAAATAAATATAGAAATATGATTAGTCTATATAACAGGTAGAGACTGTATGTCATGAAATATTGCTTCTATTCCCTTTTAACGAAGTAATGTATCGCTCTATATATTTTAATACAAGTAGGCCTATTAACACAACAAAAATGCAAGTGTTTTTCTTCCACTGTGCGACCGGTGCCCCCCCCCCCCCCCCCCCCCACCCCATTCCCCCCCTTTTTTGGCCCCCCCCTTTTTTGGAAAAAGGGGAAGGGGGCCCCAGACCCCCCCCCCAGGGGGGGGGGGGGGGGGGGGGGGGGGGGGATCTGT